GAAGGAGAGCTATCATTCGAAAGCGAGTGTATCGAACATCACCCCTACATCTATTCTAATGATCTTGTTCCAGCGGTCCTCACTCCCGCCTTTGCAGGATGACGCACAGGACCCTGTAATAAATAATTTTGTGTGGCAAACGCAAACCCTGATGAAGAAATCCATTTCTGAAGTTCACATATCCAGATCACAAAGTTGCGCCATACTAGCGCATGGACATACAAGGCCTCTATTCTTTGACGACAAAATTATTCTATTATCCTAGCTAACTTCTGAAAGCTCGCAGACCGCCACGTCATAGACATAGTACAACCGCACATAAATGATCACCTTCAGATCCTCCGAACCACTCTCCCATTGCATCTTTTGATCAACTTTCGGCCTACATTCATTTTCGGGAAAGTTGGAGGGCCGCTGGATTTTCAAAGGCTTCCAACAACCATAAAGTAGTTGCTCCATTGGCGAATCCAGGACATCTAAAAAGATACACAAGGGGGACCGCTTTCATTGAGAAGGCAGGACCGTTCTTGTCAGATGAGCCGAATAGTATGGCCACCGAACAAAGTATGGTAAAGTTGTTGGATCTGAGATTCATTGCCTGAATCCTTATCCCAGAGTCGGCGCTCCAGACCACGTTTCATGACCGAATGGAAAACAACAAGAATGAAAAACTCCAGGTCATGGTGTACCCCGCGTTTAATGTGTGCCAGTCAAATTTCCTTCTTGGACTTGTCCGGGAGAAGCATCATGGATACAAGTTCCTCGGTCATAAACAAAGCAGTACCCTGAAGATAATGTTTAGTGGAAACAGGCAAGTTGCAAAGTAGATACTGTGATCTCCGCCGAGGTGACAGTTTCCCCCAGAGAGACGCCTCTAGTATTCAGCTGACCTGCAAAGGGGGAGAGCGGATGCAATGAGACTACGGTTTCAGTCTCTGGCTGTGCCACCGAAGCGAGTTCGAGATCTGCGACAAACCCCTTCCAACCTTTAGCGTGATCAGAACCACCGAAAAAATTGCCTGGACTCATGTCTTAATGAAGAATGCATTGCTCCACGAGTCCTTGATGTCCTGGAAATATAATGATTCATGAAGGTGATCAGCACGCTAACTGAATGATGACGAACCTCTGAGTGCGGCGAGAGACCCCAAAATGAGATCTTTCGTTGTGCCCGCATCTCACAAAGGGGGTCCCACAGTTTTCAGCATGAGATGATGGAGGATGGGATCGTGGGGAACGCCAGCGTCATTGTTAAGAATGAGAGAACGGAGGGTGCCGACCGTGACACAAGCGTGTCTCCCTTGCTACAGGAATACAGACATCATCCCCGCGACTGAGTTCAGCGGCGCCTAGTATAGGTGATGACTTGATGTGCGTGAGGGGTGTTGATGAATTGAATTGAATTCTTTGGATCAATCACTCTGGTCGTGTGCCTCCTTTTCCTACAGCAAGAACTCGATGCTTGGGGGGGATCAGAACGTGTCGGTTGTAAGGCGACAAGGATTTGGCACTCAGGGGAGATCAGAACATATCCAACGGATTGCAACGTTGGCTGAGACACTGGACACGTGTACTGTCACTACATCTTGCAGTGGCCGTAGCTTTGAGTGTTAACAACTCTGGCGAGGTTAGACAAGTCAGCAGCCTTGAAGGGGAGAACAATGGTCTTCTCAAACGTCCCGTTCCATGGGTAGTCACCTGCCTCGAGCTTACGGCCATGGGCGCCGATCAACGGACACCATGCTTCATCTTCTTCTATTGTACGTCTAATATAAGCAAGCGCTCGTGTCGGATCATTACGTTGTATCCCGTGCCCGTCGCGCCTTTCAAAATCAGCCTCACCCAGGGCTTCCAAGTCACCCTCAGGCTGGTGTTTCACCCTGTCATTCGACAAGGACCCACAACGCGAACGCAATGTCCGACTCACCATCACTAACTCCTGCCTGTTCGCACACAGTAAGCGTCCAACTCCCCGACCTCCTCTCTTCATGCGCGCCCTTTGAATTACGTGTCAATCGGCATTGTAGGTCCGTGTCTCGAGCGAGCGAGGCGTGGTTGCGCGAGGTAGGGTTGAAGCTGGAGTGGAAAGGGATGAAAGTTGGGCTGTGGGCTGCTTTGTGCTATCCTGGTGCGGATTTAACTCAGCTGAGGTTAGCAGTGGACTTTTTGAGTTTGTTGGTTTTTGAGCAGGAGCAGGGGTGGGAGCGGGATGGTTGTGGTGATGAGAATAAAAATGAAAATGAGAACGGGATAATTGATCTGTGAGTTCCCATAACGGTCCAATGATAGTTGATTTCGCTGACAACACGCACGAAGAATATCTGACCGACTCAGTCGCGTCGCGTACAAAAGCCCAGCGTGGTACATGCGTTTTCATCGATCTATGCGTGCGTATTACGATGCAAGGCGGCGTCTTCATTCCCTGAATTCGACGTGTATCCCGGATTTGGAGACATATGTCGACTTACGAAGAAACGCGTCAGGTTTGAGGATGGTGTTTCACCTGATCGAGTACGCGGGGGGATTGGACCTCCCAGAACGGGCGTCTTCGCATCCGGTGTTGAAGCAGTTGACAGACCAGGCTTGTGATCTTATAGCTTGGTCCGAGGTACGTGCTTGCGTGAAACAATATGTATATACTTAGGATTAATATCGGTTCTAGGACGCTATCTCATGTGCAAAAGGCATGACCCCAAGCTCAAAACTCAACATCGTTACCGTCCTAATGAAAGATCGGAATTGTTCGTTCGGGAGTGCGCTTGCGTATGTAGGCACGCTCGTGAAGCAGAGCGCAGATGCATTCTTGGTTACTGAGCGCCAGTTCGCTGCGTGTGCTGTGATGAATGACGACGCCAGGCGGTATGTAAAGGGGTTACGGGATTGTATTGCTGGGAGTGTGAATTGGCTGTATGAGACGGAGAGGTATTTGGGGACGAAGGGGAATGAGGTTAGGGCGTTTGGATGGGTGTTTGTGCCTGTCTTGGATTAATGTTCATGTATACGTACAAGTTTTGTGTACATGTTGGGTGTATTTCGATCTTCAAATGACTGGGAGTGTGAAGGTGCCATGCATCATTCAGTGGGTCCCCCGTTTTCAGTTAGTAGCCGTATTATAGTATGTTCATTGTCGACTAGGTAGCTAAATGCATAGTTTCTGCGGTAAGACAGCCACCGCGTTCGAATTTACCTTGCCTATCACTTTCCTTCTGTCTGCGTCTACTTTCGTATCAAGTGAATTTCCTATGGACACCTGTGACTGCCAACGTACGACCAACAGCAGTCAATGATACAGGTGTTGCAGCCAGACTACATAGGCAGGGGGGACAACGCAATAGAAAGAGGGGTGAGCCTGAAGGTCACAGCCAAGAGTCTACTAAGATCATACCGGAGATGAAGAGCAGACTCATAGACATACTAATGCATGAGGGCCTGCTTGGTGTTCGACACTCCGGTGCCTGCACCGCCTAAGTATCAAATTCAGAATATGCGCATGCTTTAACAGAGAGCGAAGTGTTGCGTACTACATGATGCGCGGGAATTTCCACTGCTTAGAGTCTGCAAACACTGCAGACCTATTGAGCATAGGACGGCGCTTCAAAAATGACTTTGGAGGTGAGGCCAGAACCGGAGTGGAAGCTGAAGCAGTAGCTATTTGAGGACGGAGCCTGAGCCTTGAGGATGAAATGATGGGGAAGGGAGTGGAGCTATGTCACGCGAGTTGATGGTTTGTGGAGGGTCTTCAATTCCGTTCGGAAGCTGGACTGGGGTGTGTGTGTGGACTGGAGAAGGTATTTCATCACTGGAGTGACCTTGGGGAGGCAGAGACGAGAAAGTGAGGTAGCAGCATCACGTGAGCCTGCAGTTTCTGATGGGAATCCGGTTCCATCCGGTAGTTCGTCTAGTGCTGGTGCAGAAGACGCTGAAAGAAAGTCGGAGCTTGGCTTGAAATTAGATATGCTGCTGTACAGACAAGATGCAAATGTATTACCTGGTCGATGTAGCTCGTGATGTTGGACGCTGAGGAAACGAATGAGAACAATACGGTACCGCATTCATTATGATGGTGCAGCCAGTCGTCTTGCTGGGACGCGCTCATTCGGTCCACTCAATCTTGCTCTCTCCGTTCCACGCAGTTGATTAAATCGATATTTTTAGCTCTTTGTTATTCCAGTAAATTGACCTGCGAAGACGTCAGAGAACCTTACGTAGACCACGATATCGAGTGTATACCTAGCCTTGGGTCTTAGATCTCAGATTGGAGTTGTTCGAAGGGGGAGATAGTTGATTGTGTAACAGGTTTTTGAGGACATGCACGAGCGCCTGGGACGAACAAAACGAAAAGTAATAAGAGAGACAACCTTTCATTAAGGAGGCACAGACATACCAGATGGTCCTAGGGCCACAATAGACTCATCCTCTTGTTCAAGGGGGAGATGCATCTGCTTGATGGGGTTGAGGCAGCGAGGGTTTCATGGGAGGCTGGGAGGGATTGGTGTAAGAAGCTGGGGCAAAACTCAGCTGACTGATGGTAATATATGGGCACGAATAATGATAATGTGGAGGATTTAAATGCTGCTGTTGCGTGGGCCGCGTGTGGGATGCGGGATGTGAGCAATGAGGATATGTTTGCGTGGTGTCCGGGCTGGAATTAAGCTGAAAAGCACCTCGCTTGTTCGCCACATCCCGTATATAGTATTATTTCGTACCGACTGCAGTGTTATACTTGCCCATCCCTGAAATATATTTCCTATTTTCCTTCGCACCAAAGCGTCTGGTGAGCCGGTGTGTCGAGGTACTCCCGGCCTGGGGGGACGGAAAAACTAGAAGTGTTCCAAACATCGAGATTGTCATAAAAGCCACACAATGTGGCCCCCGTCTATCGCCTAGTTTATTCGACATCACACTTACAAAACATCTTCATTCTTTGGACAATGAGACAGCGCGATCATGACCCTCAATTATAGCACTTTTCACGCCCTCCTGCATGTATCATGCTAATTGTTCCATGCTGGCGAAAGCAAGCATCAGCAACTCGGACTCGGGAGACAACGAGAAAAGAAAGGCTCACTCAGACTCTGGTTTTGTGATACATCCGGGGTCGAGCATCCCATAGCCCGTGACTACTCCACAGCAAGTTGGGCATGAGCATGGATACCAGGCCGTTACGTGTCCGTTAGGTCCGCAAACATACCCGAAAGCGTTGCCATTGTTGTAACTTTTGATGCCCCCTGAGCACCCCCCTTTATAGGTGGATGGCCATGAGCATGTGATCTATGGTCTGCATGTAGGCTGCAAAAGTATTCACCTGTGTAAGGAGAACAGGGTATGTCTGGCCCATCGCCGTTGGATACGACAGCCATGCCAGCCGTTGCTGTGACAGCGATCATTACAGAGGTGACCCGGAGTGAAGTGAATTTCATGGCTGAAACTTGATAGTGTTTTCTGAGTCAAGTACGTTGGCTTTTATACACGAATAGTATAGGGCGCAGCCAAATAGTTTGGCAATCTGCCAGCTCACGCATCGTGTCATATTTTTCTCGAAGGCCTTCAATAATGTGTAGTGTGGGGGGCAAAACTACTTGGCTCTAGTTTTGCCGGTTATAACCGGCAAAACTCTAAGCGCTTAGCTAGGTTAATTGTAGGCTATTAGTATGTGTACGACATTCCTAATGATGTTACCTCATCCCAGCCGTTACCCTCACCCATCTCAACCTCATCTAGAACAGTCTGTGGTATCATTCCTTATTCGACCTGGTCCAACTTGTCAAAATCAAGAGCATTCCTTCCGAGCACCTGATGAGTTACCAGTGTCACTGCAATGTCTGATGCCATTTCCAGTAGTAACGATGTGAGCTGTTGTCAATTTGTTCCAGGCACTCGAAATTGTCGTTATCAGTGATGCAAGGGGGCACCCTCCAGCATGCACCATCTTACTTTAGGAGTGTCGTCTTGTATGTTCTCTTGAATTCAAACCATGTTATCAGAGATTCAAATTACATCTCTGAGTCTCGGATACCCTGGAGTTCTACCAAGTTTTGCTACCCCCTTTTGCGTGAGTTCTACCGAGGACCGGGCACAACCAGTTTTGCCGAACCGGTTGGCAAAACTACCGAGTTTTGACAACAACACCAATAATGTGACGGACGCACTCGTGGCACGAGTCCTTTTGGTATAGTTCGGCGAACGTTGATATGTGATGATGATTTATTCATTCAATTCACACTTGCTGGGATGCGCTCACTGACCATACACACATAAACACTCGATAGAGCGATGTTCGGTGCCCGCATGACTTTGCCACTAGCCATGGCATACAAGTATCCAGGTCAGTGGCTGGGGGGACAGGAAGCATTTTCCGAAGACGTTAAATAGGTGTTGCTGATATCGGCTGTGGAATACATGGACGAAACCGTCTTGATATTTCCAATATCACGACTCACGAGTTGATCTACCCCTCACTAAGTGTATTCCTGACATTACTTAGTAGATCCTAGTGCCTTGAAGAAACGCCCAATGATAATCTTCAGTACTAGGGACGACCGGATGGAAGAGGACTACGATGTAGTTGCGAGAAATTGCCGAACTTTTCACGGTCCTGACAGCATTCAATAATCATTACGAACATTTCAACTGTGCTAACAATCCCTGCTGGTCAATAATAAAGCATCGCACGCTGACAGCTCACCTGTTTTATAAAGGACAGCATGCAATAGGGCTAATGCCAACCTTTGAACCAATAGATCATATCGCGAATCTCACAAAACACAACAAACTCGACAGGACCTATATAGCTCGTCCATGTCAGACAAAGTTGAGCTGGAGGACGAGGCGTAACATGTGTTTAAACCCTGCTGGACACAAGTTGTCAACTTGCCAGTGTCGACGATTCAACTTGACGTTACAAATCTGTTGCGGCATTTTCCGGTAGGGTCTTGTTCTCCTCCGCCTTCATAACGTTCTCAAGTGCGGTGTAATAAGCAGGCGTGTGTCTAAATTTCTAGAGTGCATTTAGCTGTAGTGCATGTCCTGGTATCATGTTCATGTCTTCTTACCTTCTATTCAATCCCGTCAATTTGTTTTCAACCGATTTGAGGTTCTTTAGGTTGCAGTGGACACGTGCTAAGCACATCTCTCGTCCTCCCACTCTCAGCTTATCCAAGCGGTCATCTGTGAAACGTCAGAATCATACAAGTACCACTACTGACATGTCATTACTTCAACACACTGGTCCATCAACGTTCTACACGGAACTAGCAGAGTTACCCCTTCCTGTGTCTGCTGATTTCGTTGGCAGCGATGGTACGTAGGCTATCAATATAATTAGAGATTGATGATAGACACCCGCACAGTTGCACGCGTCACTTATTCTGTTCGCGATCACGAGCGCAACATTACACGATCCCTCACCAAGACTTTTCCCAGGGGCATCACTTCTGATAATCAGACGACCTCCCATGATTCCTCTGAAGTTAAGGCGTTTACAACATCTCCTTCCAAGTCTCGTCAGGCAATCCTCCGAGAGGTTGCTAATGGCACAAGTACGAAGCGTTTCGTTGAAATCTGGGCTGGCGCCCAGGTGGAGGCTTCCTTGGATGTTACCAAGTACCATGATGCTTTCCATACCGATGGTGAGTTCAATAATCCACGAACGTCCCGAAATACTTGCGAATCAGATGTCAGATTTCACATCCTCGCTCTCCTTCTCCCCATCGGAAACATCCCTTCTATACACCGCCGAAGCAAACATCAACAGCGATGATAATGCTTCAGATGATCCTTACCCTAAATTCAGATTCACCCCGCACTTTGGTGAACCATCTCGCGCCAGGAAAAGATCGACCATTTTTCTATTCCGCTGGACAAGATCCACAGACTTCACCAGGGCTGCTAAGCAGGACATGTTGCTCGTTGCCCTTTCGTTGGCACAGCCTACCCAAGTACCCGTCCTGTTTGGCCAAGCTACTTTTGCGACGGAAGATGTCATCTATGCCAGTGGACACGAACACACCAAAGACGGTCGACTGCTGGGGGTCAAATGGTGCTTCAATCGTCCCATGGGCATATGGGAGATTAAGCTTCCCGAGTCAGTAACCGTGCAAGGGACACCTTTTGGCACCAAAATATTGTGTAACGCATTGAAGCTGACTCCGTCAGAACGGTCTTGCCGCTCACCTCGTGTGTTATACGATGATAGTCATACGCCCACTAAACTCTTCTGGTTCTCAAATCCCGTCGGTGGTCCCCACGCATCCTGCGTTTCCCTGGAATCTCGTGACCTAACCACAGGCACCAACAAGGTCCTCGTGGACACCGTGATGGAGCCTACCTCCGAAAACGACTTTTCAGGCCTATATCCCAATTATAACATGCCCTCCAGTCCGTTTTTACGTCGTGGAAATCGTACATACATCGTGCTCCACTCCTTATGGCGCTCTCGTGCGACAATCCTCTTCATCGATACAGAATCAGGAGCAATTACAGACGAGACAAAAATGCGAGATGGCGAACCCTTGTATAGTTGGGACTTCCATACCACAGACAACAAGACGTGCTTCATCTGTTCAAGGAGCACGCCTACTACCCCATCCGAGGTATTACTAGGATACTTTGATCAACGCGACAACCTCAATTGGAAAGTCCTAGATAAGCCAACAATATCTTTCGCGAGTACGTTCAAGTCAATTTGAATTCTTGCCAAGTCTCATCATACCTTTTAGCTGAAAACGCACTCCGCGATCTCACTGCGTCGATTATACCCATCGGTGCGCGTCCTCCAACAGAGACTCTTATTATCCAGTCGAAGAAAGCTTCCACGAGACCTGGCCCGAAACCCATCTGCATTACCATTCCACATGGAGGACCACATGCATCATCGACAACATCATTCTACCCTGCTACTGCTGCACTGGCTTTAGAAGGATGTAAGTCCATTCCAACTTCGCGACTACTGACCACTTACGGCAAGCATGCTCGCAGATACTCTCTCCCTTCCCAACTATACCGGCTCCATGGGATTCGGCGAAAAATATATCCAAAAACTTCTTGGGCACTGTGGAACAATGGACGTACAAGACGTCGTAGAGAGTGTCAACGAGCTCGTACGACTCGGTATCTCAGAGCATGGACGACAAGTTGTTCAAGGTGGAAGCCACGGTGGCTTTCTCGCTGCGCACTGTAAGACTTCCCTTCTCCAGAAAAAAACACTTTTCACATCGACACTGATGCACAGTGATTGGCCAATACCCAACCCTATTCAATGCAGCAGTGATGCGCAACCCCGTAACTAGCGTAGGCGAACTAACAGCGTCTGACATCCCCGACTGGGCATATGCTGAACTCGGGCTCCAATTTACCCCGGACTCGCTCATGACGCCTGCTACATTCCAAAAAATGTTTGAAGCATCGCCTATCGCGCACGTTGACAATGTACGCGCGCCTGTGTTGTTATTGATTGGAGAAGACGACTTGCGTGTGGTACCGGCGCAGGGGTTGAGATTTTATCATGCGCTCAAAGGCAGGGAGAGGAGAGTGGAGATGTTATGGTTTAAGGGGGAGACGCATCCGCTTGATGGGGTTGAGGCGGCGAGGGTTTCGTGGGAGGCTGGGAGGGATTGGTTTAAGAAGCTGGGGCAAAACCCAGCTGACTGATGGGCACGAATAAAGATGATGCGGAGGGTTTAAATGCTGCTGTTATATGGGCGGCGTGTGGGATGCGGGACGTGAGCAAGGAGGATACTTTTACATAGCTTGGTGTTCGGGTTGAAAGTGCTTCGCGTGTTCACCCCATTCCGTGTATAGTGTTACTTGGTACCGACTGCTCTGTTATACTCGCCCATCCTCAAAATATGTTTCCTATTTTCCTTCGCACCAGAGCGTCTGAGCGAGCCAATGTGTCGGAGTACTCCCGGGGGTTGGAATAAGAAGTGTTCCAAATATCTCGCAACTGAAATCAAACATCAAGATTGTCACGAAATCCACAATATAGCCCCCGTCAATAGCCTAGTTTATTACAATCACTTACGAAGCATCTTATTCTTTGGACAACGAGACAACGTGATCACGACCCTCAATTATAGCACTCCTTCAGGCCCTCCTGCACGTATCATGTTAATTGTTCCATGCACTGGCGAAGGCAAGCACACCAGCAACTCGGACTCGGAAGACAAGAAGAAAAGACGGGCTTACCCAGGCACTGTAGTGTTGTCAAATCAAGTCAAAAGTTCGTCAACAGGCTGACAGCAGCCCACGAGAAACCCATCATCATCAGTCATTACATAGCAAATTGGATCCTTGCACGAGCATGGCAACCAGGACTAGATGTGCCCGTCAGGCCCGCACATATACCCGAAAGCGTTATCGTTGTTGTAATTTTTGACGCCCCCCGAGCACACCCCCTTTATAGGCGGATGACCATAAGCATGTGGTCTAAAGTTTGCACATAGGCTGAAAAAGTGCTCACCTTGGTGAGGAACGCAGTGTATGTCCGGCCCGTCGCTGCTGGATGCGATAACTACGCCAGCCACCGCTGCAGCAATGATGATTATAGTGGTGAGTGAAGTAAAT